GGACCGCGGCCCGGGGGCGCCCAACTGGACCGCCGCGGCGGACTCCTGCCTGGCAGCCCGAGGGCGTCGGAGCCAGAGAAGATCGATCGGCCCCGCCCCCTGAAGCCCCGCCCACGCCTCGCGTGGCGCCTGGTTGCGAGCCTGTAGACGGAAGGACGCGCACGCTGCTGTCACCCTCCGCGCCTCTCCGCCGAGCCGCTGGGGGGCGGCACCTCGTTCACCGACGCCTCGCTCTCAGAAAACGAGGGCCGACGCTGTCGATTTTCCATCCAATCCTGCCACGCCTTGGCCCGTTCCGCTCTCTCATTGGACACAGTGGAAGGCAGCGGGCGGATGTTGTCCTGCCTGCGAGGACCTAAACAGGAAAGATGGCGTCTGGCGGCGGGGAGCTCGGGGGCGTATTCGACCACCATGCCCAAAAGGCCGTATGCGACACTCGGGCCAAATATCGGGAGGGACGACGGCCTCGCGCTGTCAAGGTAGGGTGATTTTGGTTTCGTCCGCTTTCCTCGGTGGCTTTATGTGAACTCTAGGTAAAAGCAAGACGAGGTTGCCCGCAGATCCTACCTTCATTGGAGACGGCAAGAAGGCTAGGGCAGGTACTAGAGCAACTCCTCTCTCTGGTCGACTGTTAGAATGGCAGGAGAAACAGGGCTTTGTTTTAATCATTGATCTGTGTTTACACTAGTACCTGGCACATCGTAAGCACTCAGTGTTTGTCTCTTCCCAGTAACTGCTCTCCCTAGCTAACTTCTGGAGTGAATGTCGACTGAAGATAGTCTGTTGATATGTAATAGTTAGACACTGTCACACGTGGGGTGTGTTATTTTATGCAGAGTGGCAAAGTTTATTTTCTGTATTTCTTGCAGACTGAGATTTTGTTTTCAAAGCTGTGTTTTGAAAAATAGGGGTAGATTTTTGCCCTAAGCTGCTTTGTGAAATACGTTTAATGAGTCTGCATTTCTTTTAGGTATATACAATCAATTTGGAATCTCGGTACTTACTAATACAAGGAGTTCCTGCAGTGGGAGCCATGAAGGAACTAGTTGAGCGGTTTGCTCTCTATGGTCCGATTGAACAGTATAACCCTCTAGATGAATACCCAGCGGAAGACTTTACGGAAGTTTATCTTATTAAATTTGTGAACTTACAAAGTGCAAGGTAATATTTAAGTTATGCAGTGTCTCATTTCCTCTATTTCTTTTGCTGTCGTTTCAGCCAATGTTTCCTTCATTCATACCTAAATTACCAATGATTTAATATGGCCCTGTATTATTGTACTTTTATCTTCCTTCCCTGTTTTTAAAGGTTAACATTATTTCCATGCTTAACAATTTTCTGTCCTGTAGTGTGGTATGGTAGACTGAAAATTGGATTTGGACTGCTTGAGAGGCTGAGGTAGGAAGATTGTGACACAGCAAGACCCTGTCTTTAAAAAAAATTAAAAAGAAAGAAAGAAAGAAAAGAGGGGGCAAGGGGAGGAGGGAGGAAATGAACGGAGGAGGGAGGAAGGTGAGGAAGGGAAAGGAAAGGTTTGGGTATTTTTTTTTCCAATCCCACTCCCACACCTTGGACAAGTTATTTAATCCTGGTAAATCCATTTTTCCTCTTCTGTAAAATCTATATGATAAAAGGACTACTTCTTGAGGATGTATGAGGATGAAATGAGAAAATATATGTAAAGAGCTTAGTGTAGAGCCTCCTGTTCAGGGTGCAGTAGACATTAGAAACTGTGGTTCATATTGTTTTAGCCCTGTACAGATTGACCCCATCTTTCCTAGCCTTCTATATACATAACCCCTATGCTCTACCAAAGCTAAAGTATGCGGTGACTTACCTATTTTTTATGTGGACTCTCATCATATTCTGTTCCAAGATCCATCTGCTCCTGGCTATTACAATTCATAGTTTCCTTTCTGGGCCACGAGTAGCACTCATAGCCTGCCACAGAAGCAGTTGATGTTGTGGGGTGTTGTATTATTCTCAGGCCGTTCTTACATGTCATCTCACTTTCCTGACCAATTTGCCAGCTCCCTATGGTTGGGAAGCATATGCTCTAACGTTTTCATGTCTCTCACAGCACTTAGTGTAATAGACTTTGGAGTATAACATCTGGATTTGGATTTGAATCCTAGTTGCACAGCCATTTTGTAAATGTGGCTAAGCTATGTAATGTCCCAGTGCCTCAGTTTTATTACAGGATTGTGTGAGATGTTTAGTGAGGCATTTATGGCATTGCCTGGTACAAAGTAAAATCTCAAGGATTTATCCTTGTGTACAGCGATCTTAAATATTAATTATAGTACCCAGCTAGTCATATACATTCAATAAGTATTAGTTGAATGAATACTAACCTTCTCATTTTTTTCATTTATTGTTATATAGTATCTCCTCAGTTATTTAAAGTTTTGTAATTACAGTATTTTTTATTTGATTTTTGATTGCGTATGAATCTCATGGGAACAGAGTGTACTGAAAAGGCTAAGTTGGATATGAACTAACTCTCAAGGGCATTTAACTTAACACACAGAAGCACCATGTCATGACTATGGTTTATGTACTTCATACCAGCCAGGTGAGTCCTGAGTCAGGTAGAGACTCTGGATATGTGTGGATGGAATAGCTCAGAATCTACTGACACTATTAGGAGAGGGGATGGCTCTCAGAGTACTGACCTGGGTCAGTAGGATTAATACCATTTCACAAGCAAAGCATTTTAATTCCCAACAGAAGATGTGTATACACATAGTGAGAGCTGGACTTTGCTCTTTAGATATGTGTATTGTATGCTAGTTAAGCTTTCCTTCTAAGTAAATCCAGATTAATAAGCCATGCAACCCTATGTTCGTGTTTAGGACAGCCAAGAAAAAAATGGATGAACAGAGTTTCTTCGGCGGATTACTTCATGTATGCTATGCTCCGGAATTTGAGACAGTTGAAGAAACTAGAAAAAAACTACAAGAAAGGAAGGCTTATATAGCAAGAAGTACTAAAAATAAAGGTAAGGAAAGCCATTACTAAATGTGTCCTATGTGTGAGGCACTCTTTTAGGTGTGCCACCATGCAGTTCCCAGTCTAGTGGGAGGAGCTCATAAATGATCACAGTATTCAGTAACTGAACCACAGGGTTCTGAGCATCACCCTGCCTGGTCTGGCCGGGATGGCAGAGAGATTGGTTTATGGAAAACTTCCACAGGTTGTGAGAGTTCTGAGACTGAGTTCTGAGACTTGGTTGAGCTTTAAAGGAAAAGTGGTATTATCTAGAGGAGAGAGGAAGAGATGAAAAGGCGAGCCAGGTAGCACTTTTAAACCCCTAGAGGAATAAATGAGCATCACGCATGTAAGGAATGGTGAGTACTGCAGGAAAACCAAAGCGCACGGAGGTTCCGGTGAGAGACAAGATTAGAAAAGTGGGCTGGCTTGGTGGCACAGCAGTAACATGCTGCTTGACTGATCCTAGGTCCATATGGAAAACCATGGGTTTGGTTCCCTTGTACATGTCAGGTGAATGTACCCATGTTCCTGGCTGGCTGGATAGGCTATTGTGGGGGACTGTGGCATAAATTGCATTGAGGGTACGTGTCTTTCTCTCGCTCTTGTTCATAAAAGAAATAAATTTTTTTTAAAAAGATTAGAAAAGTAGATAAGGAAGTGAATCATGAAGGCCTTTTGTGTTTGTGAATATAGAAGATAAGGGTTTATTGTGAGGATAAACTAAGAAAGTACACATAGGGGACCAGTAGATGGCATGGTGGTTAAGGCTCTGGACACTCCCACATGGTCGATCACGGTTCAAGTCCCAGACCTGGAGGCTTGCTTTCTCACTTTATCTCTCTCTCTCTTTCTCTGGTCAAATTAAAATAAATGAATGAATAAATAAAATTTAAAAAAATTATTAAAAAAAGAAAGTACACATAAATTAGTATAATGTTTGTATATAGGAAAAGATTAATAAACATTTTATAATTTATAATATTTTGATGTTTCTCACAATGTGTTTAAACTTAATTTTCTAGCTTATATGTTCTAAGGCATTCCAACCGTATCATTTTAACAGGACGAGCTAATATGTATACATTTCTTGCTATATTACTTTGTTTTTAAAATTATGTCAGAGGGCATGTACACAGGTGTTGGGGATAGAGAGAGAGAGAGAGAGAGAGAAGGAAAAGAGAGCAAGTACCCCTCAGCAGGACCTGGTTATACCACAATGCTTTTCCCTCCAATTCTCCATCCCATCAGGATTCTGGGAACTTGTACTCCCAGCATGTTTTTCAAGCTGATGAGGCTGGAACTTAAACCTGGGTTGGCCATGTGGGATCTGGCTTCTTTTGCACAGTGCCTAATCACTTTGCTATGGGTCAGGCCTTACTGTGTTACTCATTTTTTTCTTTCCTTTCATTAAGTGTCCCCATTTCCTTTCATGGTTTATTTCTGCCTTCGAAATCCTATCAGCTATAGATCCTTCTCAAAGACCATCTTTTTGAAGATTTTTCTGATCAAAGATTTCCTAATCCTGATTGAAAAAAAAAATTTCTTATTACTCCATAATATCTTGTACCATTTTCCATGCTTCTCTATCTAGTCTTTCAGTTTCCACCATAGTGTACGGATACATGAAGGACTTTATACCTCACGCTAAGGAAGTAAGGCTTTGACCTGAAGGCATCGAGAAGCAAAAATGATTTGCAGACTAGTTAACAACTGCTCATCGTGGGCAAGTTCCGCATTTAAACATTAGCCAGCTAAAGGCCCCGCATGCCTGAGTTTCCCCAGACACAGATTCCAAGTGCCTGGAATGAAGTCATAGAATGTGGTAACCTGGACTAAGGCTAGAGTCAGACTTAAACTGAGATAATGTGAGTAGTCTGAAATCTGAATATTACTCAAGAGGTTTAAATTCCCACCCTTGAGTTGAAAGAAAACATGAGTCTCCATATAGCTGTCGAATATGATAAGTCTATGGCTGGTTGAGGAAGGGGCATGTGTCCATGGCAAAGAGCGCAATAAGTGGGGAAGACCCTTGAAAATTTACCTAGAATTATGGAAAGAGAGTGTTGAGAATCCCTAGTTATCTTTAGATATTGAACTTTTAACTTGTTGGATATGTAGGTGGCTAACACCGGGAAAACCTGTATGTGTGTGTGGCAAAGGATATTACAAAATATTAGTGTGGAGAGAGTCCTTTGAAATTTTCTGACCCATGTCCTAATGTTTATAAGTGAGGAAACCAAGGCTCAGAAAGTGTATGACTGGCCTATACCACTAGAGATAAAAATCAAGATTAAGACCCAGGTTTTTGGATTCCTGGTTCAGAACTTTTGTATTGATTTATTCGTCTCAGTGTTGGCTATAGAAGCTTAGCATTCTCTTCATTTTCAGACCTTTTTGCCCTGCCTTTGGCCTCCTCAGAATTAGATTTAGTGTTGTTCCAACATTAAGTGGCAGCATGGTGTAGTTATTTTTAAACCATGGCTTGTTTAGCCATGGACGCTACAGTAAGCTTTTATCTACAGCATTCTGGTATCTACATGGTGCTCATGGGGGAGAGACAGAGAGAGGGAAAGTGGGAAAGCACCTCCCTTAGGGGGATGGCCATGTATCATTCCCTTCTCTTCCATTCTCCTCTTGGGATTTTGGGCATGTATATACACCTAGTGTGTTTTTTAGACCACCAGGTCTGGGACTCAGACTGCACAGTCAGCCATGTGGGATCTAGATGGCTTAACCACAACACCACTGCCACTGGCTGGCCCTGTCCTTTCTAGCTTTTAAACCACATGAATGTATTTCTTACTCAAATAATTAAAAAAAAAAAGTGCCATAGGGTGTGCCTGCTCACCAGAGAGAGGCAGAAGGAAAGTGAGAAAGCACACCTGTGCTCCCATGGGGGATAGCCACTCCACAGTCCCTTCTCTCAGGATTTTGGGCATGTACACAAATATGTCTGGCATGTTTTTCAAGCCACTGGGTCTGTGACTTGAACTGCTCAGTCAGTGTGGGATCCAGCTGCCTTAACCACCATTCTGTAGCTTGCCCTTATAAAACACATTTTTTGGAGAATTTGTTATTGTTTTAAAGTGTTGTTTTTAAATGATATAATTCTGAGTGCTGACAATAGATGAATCATTTCTATTTCTTTTTCCCTCACCTTTTAAATTGTGATATAAAGACTATTACATGACCAAGAAGAAACTGACTCCAGAGCATAAGGACATGAAAGATTTTAGGCCAGACTTTTACTCAGAGATGTCTGGATTTTGTGCAGCCACACTGAACACTTCAACTCGGAACTCAAATCTTTCTCTTCCTTATTCTTGTGAATTGCCTTTATGTTCTTTCTCCTCACAATCTACATGTTCATCTGGGGAGCATGTGGACGGACCATCAAACTTCTCTAAGGATGGTAGACACCATGATGACACAGTAGAACAATGTAACCACAACTCTCTGCAGAAAATACAGATGAACACTTTAAAAAGTCATGTGGCCTCTTCTGCCACACAAAAGCCTATTCCTTCATCAGAGGCGGTTGGCAGATTTATGCCTAGGACAACACAACTGCAAGAGCGGAAAAGAAGAAGAGAAGATGATCGTAAACTCGGAACTATAGAAACAGGCTTTAGTGGTAATGAGGTTATGATTGGGCCTCTGTTACCAGACATACCTAAAGTGGATATGCATGATGACTCATTGAATACAACAGCAAATTTAATTAGAAATAAACTTAAGGAGGTAGGTCTTTTTTTTTCCTGCTCTCTCTTTTTAAACACAGGGTCTTACCATGATGTGTCCTCTGTCTCAGCCTCCCGGCTGGGTCTACACAACCCAGTGTGCTTGGCTCTTTTCTAAACAGGTCCATCCTATGTTGCCTTGGCCAGCTTCACACTCATTACTACTCCTGCTCAGCCTATGGAGTTACTGAGGTTACAGGCACGTGCCACTGCGCCCAGCCCTTTAGGTTGGACTGGAAATAGATCAGGGTCTCCCATGTGGTCCCAGCCAAGATCTCAGCAACATGCACCACACCACAGCTGGGCCAGTCAGATCATTTGGGGAAAGGGGAAAAAAAAAGAAAACAACTTTTTAAGGAGACATTTAAAGGACTAACAGATAATTAAATGGAGAATTTTTTGTGGGAGCTGTGGTATCGTGAGATAGCAAGCCATCAGGTTGGGAACTCAAACTGCAGTCAGCCATGTGAGAGTCCAACACCTTTCCCACCGCGCCACCTGTTGGCCCCTATTATTACTACTATTGTTATTATTTTTACTTTGCTATACGGCATGTGCACTCACCAGAGAGAAAGTGAGAAAGCAAGCCACTAGGCCTAGGATTCAAACCACAGTCGTCCATATAGGAGTCCAGCACCTTAACCACTACACCACCCACTGGGCTCAGTTTCAGTTTTTGTTGGTAACCTTACTTCCTTCATTGAGGTTAAGCTGAGGTATAGAAACATTGCTGTTTCAGCCAGAGCTTACTGCATTTTCAAGAAAAAAGTGTGAAGTCCAAATCCTAGATACAGACATAGTAGAACAGCAGAAAAGAGAAACAGTACGCTTTCCAATAATTTTCCATTATTAGAAATAGAAAAATGAAGACTGTTTTATTCTGCTTTGACTTACTGTGTGCTCTTTTCCTGATAATGTGTTTGGCTTTCGTTTTTCCTCAAGGAAATTGGAAATTATACTGTGTTCAGCTTATTCCTTCAGATTTTTTTACACCCTACCCCCAAGCATCTTTGTCTAAATCTATCAAACTGTATCAGTGTTTCAAGAGTACAGGACCACGTCTATACCCATAAAATATTGATAACAAGTAACTTTAAATCTATGAAGGAAAGTTAAAGTAGAACATACGTTCACTTTTTACCCTCCACATTTTTCTTGTTAGATGGCTTCAGAAATTTTATTCCCATAGGGACAGGCAGGTGGCATGATGGTTAAGGTACTAGACTCCCGCATGGCTAACTGTGGTTCAAGTGTTAGACCTGAGGACTTGCTTTATTTTCTCTACACCCCTCTCTCTCTATTGTCAAATTTAAATAAATAAATAAATATTTTAAGAAAGAAACTTTACTCCCATCAGTGTTCAATCAGAAAACTTTATGCTTGAGTTATAGGCTGCACACTGAACTTGGGCCAACTCTGCCTCAAAAGTGGTGGCAAGGATTGATCTATTTGGTGTGTATCCTACCTCTTCTAAGTTACTTACTCTTTTTTTTTTTAGAGAGATTTTTGCTATAGGGCACATGTGCTGACCGGAAAAACAGAGAGACAGAGACAGAAAGAGAGAAATCACCTCCAGGGGGGATGGCCACTCTGCAATCCCTTCTCCTCCATACTCCTCTTGGGATCTTAGGTACATGCACACATGCTCCCGGCATGAGTTTAAGCCACTGGGTCCAGGACTCGAACTGCACTCAACTATGTGGGAGTCCAGTGTGCCATCTGCTGGTCCCCAGTTATTTATTTGGTGTACTGTTAAAAACTAAGCTGCAGTGGTTCTTTTTTTTCCCCTTAAACTAGGTAAGTTCATCTGCGCCAAAGCCTCCAGAGGACAAGGTGGAAGATGTACCTACAAGTCGTCCATTAAAACAAAGAAGAAGAATATAGATTGCCGGCAGCCAATTAATGTTTTCTAAAGAAAATATTTATTTTTATTTTTTAGACTATTGTTTTAATTCTTCAAGAGATTTTACTGCTTGTATTTTTAAATGTGCATTCCCTCTTTGTAATTTTATTCAAAATATTTATCTAAAATAGTTTAATCTTATTTTGATTCAGACTTAATATTGTATTATAGAAATCATTCCCATCTCATAACATTACCTCTCACAGCGCAATAGTATATGTAAACTAACTGAGGCAAATACAGAAACGTCACAAGATAAATAAAAGTGGGCAGCCAGGATCTGTTTTGGATTTTAATACAAGTACTGAGTGATTCCCATTCAAAACCTAGAAGTCATGATGTTTCTGAATGCCAGGGCTTCGAAATTAAGACAATTCTGTAAAATGAAAAGTTAATAAACTATTAGGACAAAGCTGAAACTAGCAGTGTATGTACTTTAATGAACTTTTTAAAAGAATTTACTTGATCTATGGCAATCAAAAGGCAAATCAGTAAGTTTTAGATTTCTACCACTGCGTCTGCCATACCCATACTTTTCCATCAGTGAACCACGTAATTAGAAATCCGAGTATATCCAGGCAATTTCCATTTTCTTTACTGAACAAATAATTTGAGAAGACCTGTACCGTTTGGGGCCTGTTTTTACTTCTCCCTATTTTCAAGGGCCTCTTGCCAAGTGGATTGAGTTTGATAGTTAATAAGGTTCCATTTTAGTTATGATCTATGGATCCAAATTTATTAGGATGTCTCTAAATGGTTGATGATACTAAAGGAAACTACAGGCACAAATTTGGGTCCTACTTCATGAAGTTTTTTGGTTTTGGTTTTTGTTTTTTAGAGATTTTTGCTATAAGGCACATGCACTTACTGGAGAGACAGAAAGCAAGAAATCAACCCCCGGGGAGGATGGCTGTTCCTCAGTCCCTTCTCCATTCTCCTCTTGAGATCTTGGACGTACACATGCCCAGCCTGAGTTTTAAGTTGCCAGATCCGGGAGTCAAACCGTGGTCAATTACATTGGAGTCCAGCAGCATAACTATTAAACTATCTGCTGGTCCCCGTGAAGTTCTTTCTTAAAAACTTTTTCTGGGGACCAGCAGTTAGCGTAATGGCTATGTCTCTGGACTCCCATGTAGTTGACCACGGTTCGTGTCCTGGACCCAGTGGCTTAAAACTCAGGCTGGGCGCGTGTGCATGCGTGCCCAAGATCCCGAGAGGAGAATGGAGAAGAAGGGATTGCGGCATGGCCATCCCCCCTGGGGGGTGACTTCTTGCTTTCTGTCTCTGTCTCTGTCTCTGTCTGGCGAGTGCATGCGCTCTATAGTGAAAACCTCTCAAAAAAAAATTTTTTTTTCTGAATTTTGAAGTTAAGGTACCTTAACTTAAGCATAGAATTGGAAAGAACTACTTGCTGGGTAGATCAGTTTTCTCAGATTGAAGGTGCTATGACTGTCCACCTCAGAGTCTGCTGAAGTGCAGATTCTGATGTGGCTAGAGGCTGTGGCGAGGAGGAATTGGAAATTTTTAATGAGTATAATAAAGTTTTATTTTTATAAGATGAAAAGAGTTCTGGAGTTTGGTTTCACTACAGTGTCAATGTACTTAATACTTTATACTTAAAAAAAGTTGCAATCACGGTCCACAGGTGGCGGGCAGTTGAAGAGCTGGACTCCAACATGGCCTACCAAATCCTGGACCTGGCAGCTTGCTTTCTCACTTCCCCCCCCCCCACCTTGGTCAAATTAAAAAAATAAATAAAATTAAATAATTAAAAAAAAATAATTAGCATAGTAATTACAAAAAAAAAAAAAAAAGAAGAAGAAGAAGAAAACTCTGCCTGACAACCCTGAAGGAAGGAGCTGCAAGGTGGGTTCTGTGTTCTGAATGGGTACCTGATGTGATCTGTGACAGTGTGGAGGCTAGCACTCCCGACTGCCACTAGCATATACAATGACCACAATGAGAAAAGGAGAGAAGCCTGTGTTTCAAGTAACAAAAGCAACCGGATGTTGATTCAATTGGTTTGGGTTAGGACCTGAGAATCTGCATTTTTAACAGGTTCCTAGGTGATGGCTCCCCTACTGGTACAGAGAACACGCTGAGTGGCAAGCCTCTAGATGATGGGCTACAGAGGAACTTGGAGCAGCTGAACTATTGGCTGTTCCATCCTAAGTTCCTCCAACTCAGTCCATTAAGCTCTGCTGTTTTCACCTACTCGACTTGACAGCCTGCCTTACCACATTGCTTCACGTGTTTCTAGACAGTATTAAAGTGTGGGATCTAGGGGATAAACTACAGTGAAACAACTCAGGTGAGTTTAAATGACAGTGGTCAAAGGAAGAAAAAGGAAATTTTATGAGCCAAATTTATTATTAGGCAGATCCTTTGTACTGAGAAAACTTGTGTTACATTTATACATGAAAAACCTTCATGAGTACAAATAAAATCCTATAAAGTACTATACACGTGTCCGAATGTAAAAAAAAAAATATCATTCTCATTGACAACAGTTGGGTTGAAAGAGATCAAGTGTTCTAGCAGTTTATAGTAGGAACTCACTGAGCCCAGTCTACTTAGCGTTCTTTCCCTTAAGCCAGTTCACCCTGGTTTTGGGTTTGGGAAAATGTCACCATATTTAACAGGAAACAGGAGTTGTGCATGAGTAAAGAGGTTAGGAGCTCACAAGTCTATCAATTATAGCTTTGGAAAGTCACTTCTGTCTTCTTAGAGCCCAGAACACTAGGATGGGCCGAGCCCTTCATGAATGCCTGACTGGGCAGTGGGCTACAGCCCTACAGAGGTTAAAGTGTCCAGCAAATGTTACTTTCTGACCCTTGAACATTTTTCTCTTGACCAATTTACATGGTTGGCACTTGTAACTATACCTTTGCTTCTGGCAAACATGGTCCAAACACCTCCAACAGAAGTCTGTCTTCTCTCACTGCTTTTGTAAAATCTGCAGAAGATACTTTGCCATCGTTGTCGCAATCCTAGAAAAGGAGGATGATTCCTTGATAAGGAGTAGTACTTAATTTGGCATGGAAGGCAAAACTATCTGGTTTAAAAGGTTTTACCAGGTAAAACTGTTGAGAGCACACTTTCATAGACCCTTTATTATGAGTTGAAATGACTTATTGAAGCCCCTTGCTTTATTCCTATTATTCTAATAGGCATACCCGAGTTACTTCAGATATGTAAAATGTAGCCCTGGCCCTAAATCACTTTAATTAGGGAAATAAATAAAAAATTAGAGGAAGCACATTATTATATTACTACTTTTGTGATAAGGTAAGTAGAATAGGGCAATGATTTTGAAGCTTAATTTTTTGTAGATCTTACTCCTTAAAGGAGCTTTTGTTTGGCAGCCCATCAGATAAAGATGAAAGTGAAGTTGCTCTTATGAGGAGCAAGGCACCAGGAGTTACAGCAGGAACAGCTGATGGAATAGTTTTGAGACTTTGCAGATCACTGCTAGGCCTTTAGGAGGCTGGTTGGGATCTAGACAAGTAGAGAGGTGTGGAGAGGAAGTGCAGAAGAACGCCCCGCCCCCCCATATGACGACGGCAGGGATGTAAGCCAGTCAGTCAGACCTGCCTGGAGTGAAGCCCACATGACAGTTCATGAGAGACTATGTTGTGCAGGGCGGCAGGGTGGGGAGCACGCATGTATGTAGGTTCTGAGTGCCTTTTATTGCTAATCTGGATGGGATTAGATGTGTCCTTGTTTTTCCCCACTTCTGGGGTTATCTAAGGGTTGGTGAGAGTCTAATCTACAGAAAATTTTGAAAAGGCTTACTCCATAAATACTTTCAGAAAAGAAGGTGGGGGCGGGGGGGGACACGCGAACATCCTGTCTCTCAGGAAGTCTATTCTCAGCCCTAGCCGTGGCTAGTGTATTTCTAGGAGAAGGAACACTCTGGAGCCCATGTGAGCATGTGTGCCCAGGATCCCGAAAGGGGGGAGAAATGGAGGAGAAGGAATTATGTCATGACCGTCCCCCATAGTGGGTGCTTTCTCACTTTCTGCCTTTTTCTCTCACTTTCTGGTGAACACATGTGCCCTCTAGAAAATTTTCAAAAAGCATCCAAGTTTACACAAATTGAATCTGGCCTCTTCCCAAATTAATGAGGTTTTGCTGATACTAAAATATTCTCTTTTTTTTTTTAGAGTTTTTTTTGCTATAGGGCATGTGTGCTCACCAGAAAGACAGAGAGAGAGACAGAGAGACAGAAAACGAGAAATCACCCCCCAGGGGGGATGGCCATGCCACAATCCCTTCTCCTCCATTCTCCTCTCGGGATCTTGGGCACACACGCACACATGCCCAGCATGAGTTTATGCCACCAGGTCTGGGACTCGAATTGTGGTCGACTACATAGGAGTTCAGCGATATAGCCATTGTGCTAACTGCTGGTTCCTAAAGGATTCTAAAATAATAAAATTAACATTTATTTTGTAATCTGGTTAATTATCAAGTCATTTCACAAGTACCAAGTAAGCCCTAGTCTAAGCCATAGATAGAGCATAGACTCCTGTCCTCCTAAAAGTTATATTCATTTTGGGGGAACAGAAATCTCATTTCTTTTATCTTTAGCTTTATCCAATAGGCACATGATTGGGTATAATGCATTATGTTTCGTTCTTACCATTTTCTTCAAAGTTATGTCTACCAGCTCGTTTACTCCTTCGTCAGTCTCTTCTTCTGATGACTGTTGGGATAGACTGTTCTTCAGCATGTCAAATATTTCCTCTCGGGAAATGTAACCATCTCCATTCAAATAATAAACTTCAGAACAGACTTTTTAAAGCATAAAGAGTTTAAAGATTTAAGGAACAGTTGGAATGCATTAGTCTTCTTACATTTTCAATATATGGTACAACAAAGAAAAAATTATTCACCGTACAATTACAATCTAAGCCACTATATGGTAGAGACTGTAGAATACAACAGTCCTTATTACAAGATTAAGTACCCCTTGGGATGTAAAAAAGAAGGCCTATAATCTCTGGATTTTTTTTTTAAGAAAGTGATTTTTGCTATAGGGTGCTTGCATTGCCAGAGAGACAGAGACAGAAAGTAAGAAATCACTCCTTAGTTGTCCCGACCCGGGGGGGAGAGCCGAACAGGTTTCCTGAGTGAAGGAGTGAGAGCTGGGACAAGCGGCGTAGTGTTACAGCACAGAGACGACAGTGTCGTCCGTTTATTGTGGGCAGCACGGTACAGCACAGAGACGACGCAGTGTTGTGTCGTCTACTGTGAGCAGCACAGAGACGACGTGGTGTCACAGCTCTTCAGGGTCGTCCAGAGACGATGTAGTGTTACAACTCTTCAGGGTCTCCCAAGTCGTCTGGAGACGATGCAGTGTCAGCTCTTTAGGATCTTCAGGGTCGTCTGGAGACTGCGCGGTGTTTCAGCTCTTCAGGCTCTTCAGTTGTCGTCTTCCTGGTCGTTGTCGTCATCTCGGTCGTCTGTGTCGTCTGACTACTGTGGGCCAGGCATCGTGGTTATATACACTCTGGTGGGTTGTAAACGATGGGCCGTGATTGGTTGTAAACGGTGGACCTTGATTGGTTGTTAACGGTGGGTTATGATTGGTTGCTTTTGGACCAATCATGAGGTGCCGGATATGCAAATTTGAGGGATTCTAGTGGCCAATCAGAGCAAGGTTTCGAAGGTCAGGTTTTTGGAAGGGAACCAATCATGGTAATTGTTTGCTCTCTGAGAAACCTCGGCAGACTC